TCTTACAGTTTTACCCACCAACGTGCTACACGAGGATGTAAATTTTTCTTTAATGCAGTTGCTCGCACTGAATTGCAGTCAGTATATACTGTGAAATGCACGCCATACAGGTATACTCTAAAATGTTCTATTGCTTCCACTAGAGCAAGAGTTTCTAGATCATATGAATGGTATCTAGATTCATACTCGGTAGTACGACGGCTGTAGTAAGCAACTGGTTGAGCAACACCGTCCTTTTTCTGTAGAAGTACAGCTCCAATTCCAATTGAACTCGCATCCGTGTGCACTTCGCAAGGTAAGTCCGGATTGTAAATGCGTAGAACAGGTAAACTGGTTAATTTGCTTATTACCAATTGTCTTATTGATTCACACTCGGGAGTCCACTCGAACTTATTATTCTTTTTTAATAAGGCTGTTATTGGTGCGGTTAACTGCGAAAATCCTTTTATGAATCGCCGGAAGTATCCAGCCAGTCCCATAAACTGACGTACATTTTTCACACTAGCTGGCTGAGGTGCTTCAGTTAATGCTCTAACTTTTCCGGGGTTAGGTCGCACTGTGCCTTCGCTTAGTATGACTCCGAGATATTCAGTCTCTGTGGCAAAGAATACACACTTATCATAGTTCAAAGAGAAGCCAGCCATAGATAAAGCACTCAATACTTCTTCCAAGTCTTTTAGTCCTTCTTCAACTGTCAGAGAGGGCACTATAACATCATCAAGATACACCAAGGCCTTTGTACCTTTAAGAGGCCCCAAAGCCTTATTGATTGCTCGTTGATAAATGGATGGAGCATTGGCGTATCCAAATGGCATACGATTAAACTCATAATGTCCATCAGGAGTTACAAATGCAGTAATGTGTTTTGAGCTCTCCTCTATTTCCATTTGGTAGAAACCAGATTTCATGTCCAGCGTCGTAAAATACTTTGCGCGATACAACATATTAATTTGGTCCTGTATAACTGGCAGAGGATATCGTTCACGAAAGACCCTTTTATTCACATCGCGGTAGTCAACACACATTCTTAATTGTCCATTTTTCTTTTTAACTAGCACAATAGGGCTAGCGTATTCTGATTGGCTCTCTCGTATGATACCGTCCCTCAAAAGTTCACAAATTATTTCCGCTACCCGAGTCCGTTCTTCGTATGCTAATCGTCGGGGGTGATACACTACAGGTTCACTGTTTTTGAGTTTTATTGTCATTTTACCGGTAGTAATGCGATCAGGAGTCTTGTCTTTATACACAGTTAACAAAGTTTCTAATTCTAACTTTAAATCATAATCTAGTCCAGCTTGATTGATTTGAACGCGCCTTGTACACTGCACGGCTAGCACTTTCAATCCACTGTTCGGTTCATAATAAAGTTCGATACCATCAGCACTTTTCCTAACCCTCACAGAGGGTTGAAGAATAACATCCAAACCGATAAGAAAATCAATTCCATTCGGAAAAACGTTATCTGGAACTACAACGAAACTAATTTCTAAGGTCAGTGTTGGCAGAATTGTTATCAGATCACAAATACCCACAGCATAAACAATGCGGTTCCCAAGTCCAACGAAAGCACATACACTACCATTTGGCTTTATTAGTCCGTTCAGGGCTGTAACGATCGAATGCCTTATTATTGACACATCAGCACCACTATCCACGCGATACGTCAGTGAAGGAGCGCGATTGTTGCATAAAACTGTAGCTATCGGCGTCAATAACAGTTGGCGTCATTTTCTGACCACGAATGCTTTTTGAGGCTTTCCGTTCTTATACCAACAGTTATCCTCAGTGTGACCCATTTTCTTGCAGTGATTGCATGTAGGAATAGAAACATTTTTGGATTTCGGAACTTCACTTGCGGCCTCTGAAACTTCTGGCTCTTTTCGATAATTTCTGCACTTGCTTTGCGAGTGTCCAAGTCGACCACATGTATGTACTGTTGGACCAGCGAAAGATTGCAAGCCGAAAGAATGCGGACAAAAAATTGCGAAGTTGTCAGATGTTCTACATAAAATGCGGTCCATACATATTAACATATTTAAGATATAGAATTGTTCCGCTGAATTTGGCAATGTAGCTGGAAAACCCAGGCCGCAGGTAAACATCCGGTCGCTGATTGGTCCAAAACTCTTATCTTATCTGAAACTAGAATAACGTGCCGATGGCACGGTCATTTATAAACCTACTCCCATAGGCGTAGGCAGTTGGCAAATACTTTGAAAATATAATTTACTGTTTAGTGGTGATAATGGAATTCAAGCATGGGAAAGTTATTCACAGCCAGGCAAGGGAAATAATAGCAAACGTGATACGTGCTTGCGATGCAGAAGCGGCTAACAATACTTTCGTTTATCCACTGGTAGCTAGAAATGCAAGGGCGGCATATTATACGGGTGTTAGTGAACGAACTATAAGTAAAATTAGAAAAGAAGATAAAGACAGGCAAAATGCAACCTCCACACAGCCTTTAGCTTCTCCCGGAAAAAAGAGATCACGCCCTTCTGTGATCCAAAAAATTGATGGAGTCGATTTTTCCATTATTCGGAGAATGATAGAAAAATTTTACTGTGATTTTAAAGTGGTACCTACTTGTAGTAAACTTCTAATCAAACTGAAGGAAGAAATGGAATTTCCATTTGGTAAAGAATCGTTGAGGCTGCTTTTAAAAGCAAAAGGATTTTACTGGCGTAAATGCCACAACAAAAGGAAATTACTAATGGAAAGACCCAGTATTTTACATTGGCGATACAAGTATCTTAGGTCTATTAAAAAGTTCCGGGAAGAAGGAAGGCATATTATTTATTTGGACGAAACTTGGGTTGATAATGACCTCACTTTCAAGAAATGCTGGCAAAGCGAAGAAATTATGGGTGTCCTGAGCAATATAAGTTCTACAGGTAATAAAGTTTCTTTCACCTCGATTTTGCTTATTATACATTTTTCTCAATTTTGGAATATTCTTAATAAGTGCTCATTTAATTTGTCTAATTGAATACATAATCCCTTGCAAGTATTTTTTTCTCAAAAATATGTTTTTTATACATAGTGATTCAAAAAGGTGTTGGCAAACTTAAAATAACACTAAAATGAGGCTATTTATTCATTTCCAGGACGACTTATAATTGTTCATGCGGGTTCGCAAGATGGTTTTGTTCCTGGAGCCTGTCTCATTTTCAAGGCTGGCTGTGCCACTGGTGATTATCACGGTCAAATGAACCAAGAAAATTTCACGAAGTGGCTTACTGAAAAACTATTTCCTAACATTCCTCCTAATAGTATTATAATAATGGATAATGCACCTTACCATTCAGCTTTGGAAGACAAGCCTCCAACTAGATCTTCTCTAAAAAGAGACATCATCACGTGGTTGAGCAAAAAAGGTATAGAGCATGATCCTAATGCTAAAAAAATGGAGCTTTATGAAATAGCTTGTCTACATAGGCCACCATCTGATGAGAAAAATTATAAGATAGATAATTTAATAAGAAGTTTCGGACACACCCCACTTCGAACGCCACCCTATATGTGTCAGTTTAATCCCATAGAGATGATTTGGGCACAAGTAAAATTTTTCATTAGAAGCCATAATACAAGCGGCGAATTTACTATAAAAAAACTAGATGAAATTTCTAATAAGGCCATCGCTTCAGTAAGTGCCAGTGACTGGCAAAAGGTTATTGGACATGTTATAAAAATTGAAGATGAATATTGGGAAAAAGACAGTCTCATTCAAGAAATACAGGAAGAAATAATAATCAACATAGGAGGTGAAAGTGATAGCAATGACAGTTCCTCAGACAGTGATCATGACTCTAATCAGGATTGAAACTATACTAGATTGGCTACCTTTTAGAATTTTTAGATATTCATTTATTATACTATTGGTTTGTGGCTTTTAGTATCTCAGTAGAAAGTCTAATTCTATGTGTTGTTTATGGGTTATTTCATCAAGAAATTACTTTTTGTTTTCCTATATTTTTCTATTCAGTCAGATATTTTTGACTTGTTGTATTCTATTTTAGAAGAATGCATAATTTGTTTTGCTGTTCAATCATAATGCGTACATAGGAATATTACTTGTTGCCTAAAAAATATATTTATTTTGTTCTCAATATTCAGTGTTTGTGTATATTTATTTCTTATAATGTATGTTTGGTATCACGTCATTATGAATCGCAAAAAAATATTAATACTACCAGTTGTAATAAAATATAAATTCAATTAATAATTCAAGTCTCTCCGATCTCCGCCTATGACTCCATATAAAATCGTCTAATGGTAAGGTTTTTTCATCGCATTTCCCCCTTTCGTCCCTAGCAATCTTTGGCTGGTCGATCTATACAGCCCGCAACCTCGACGTTCCCAGACACCCAAAGACGTTCTAACAATTACTAGACGGCCAGCGACGGATACTTGAATGCTGAGCCATCGGTACTTCGGGGTGTTCTAGATTTTCCGCTTACATATATATATATATATATATATATATATATATAATGTAACGTACTGCTAAGGAAATATTAACATAGTAACAATAATAACATGTCGGTTGCGATGCTTGTATTCAAGATAACTTCTTGACGGTTGTCTACCCTCCATTGTTGCTGCCTTCTGCTATGGGGGAGATGTCCCCATCAGGGGGATCGTTATTCGTGGGCATTACACACCAAACTATAAGGTACCGTCGGGTAATAAGGCCAGGTTAACATTCTTACTTTTTTATTTAATAACACATACACATTTTCGACTTTGCGTATATAAAAAAGGTAACTAAGGTATTTGTTTTACAAAAATATTAATGAACAGAATCTTAAAAAACATATGATACCACTTAGACACTAGAATGACAAAAAAATGCATTTTGGCCTTATTACCAACCTAGGCAGGTTATAAGGCCCAACTTAGCATTTGTTAATTAACGCACAAAAAAAGCAAAAAAACAGTTATTTTTAAAAACATAAAAAAGAGAGACTAAGAGTAAACAAGGTACTTAAAAAAAATTATGGCAGGCATTGCGGACAAATAAGTTCCTCGGTGTCATTTGCAGTAAGGCCGACGCATTCCTCATGCACCCATATTCCACATAATACACAGGATCGCATGTCAGCTACAAAGGCCTTATCACAAACGGAGCACATCCAGTCTTCTTCTCTAGCAGCTCTGCTAATGGTCGGCAATTCAGTCGATTTCCTTGATTCACTGGTTTTAATTTTTTTAGAACTGGGATCTTTAAAAACATCCCTTTTTACTTCCTGAACTCGATAATTCAGGGCTTTTTTTCGTGGTTTGGTTTTAACTGGCTGCATATCGGGAGTAATGAGCTCTTTAGCGAATGAGTTATTTAGACATTGTGCTTCTTTTTCGATCAACTGAGCTAATGGAATTTCATCTTCTGAGTTCCAGTGGTCTTCCAAACTAGGCGGATTACTGATCTCAACATCAGACAAATTGGGCGCATTGTTTTCGTCATTGTGGCGCTGCGTAGGAAGACTGGGAGCAAATGCACACTCCGGTATCGCATTTTTGTTAAAAGGGTAGATCCCGGTTGCTCTAAACCCACTACAGATGTTGCTGATGGTCATACACTTACCCCAAACAGGAGTAAAGACATCTGAGAACCTTTCTTTATTTAATCTTCTGTCAGGATGTTGATCCCAGTAATCTACAAGCTCCTGATCCCAGTGGGCTTCAAACGACCGGAAGACGGATTTGTCCATTGGCTGGAGCTCGTGGGTAGTATTACTAGGTAAACATAAAAGCTCAATCTGCAATGATTCTGCCTTTTCAGCGATAGTCACATCGAGGTGACTTGATGCTCCATCGAAAATTAAAATTGTTGGAGGGGGCGACCTGAATTGTGCAAAATGATCCAACCATTTAAGGAATATCTCCGTAGTCATGCTTTCTTTTTGAGTCATATGCACAACTGACCCTGCTGGAAGTCCATCTGAAAAAGTTGGTTTTATTCTCTGCCCTTTAAATAAAATCATTGGAGGTATCGCATTGCCGAGCGCATTTGCACATGCCACAATGGTTACATTTTCTCCATGTTCTGACCCTATCAAATGCACTCTTTTAGCTCCCTTCTCTGCTAGAACCCTCTGCTGATGGTGTAGCATGAGTCTACAGCCCTTCTCGTCGATATTATAGATATTACCATTCATATATTTAAGGCCAGTTCTCTCCAAAAGGTCGTTCAGCTTCTCAAAATAATCATCCACAATAAAATGGTTTAATTTCTGTGCACGAGCAGGATTTAATTGCTGTGCCCTTCGCTGCGAAATATTTGGGTGTCGCTTCAAGAATGCTCGGTACCATTCTTTTCCTGCTAATTGCTTCTCTTTATCGAATTTATGATTAACATTAAGTCGTTCACAAAATTTATAAACGGTACGACGAAGCACTTTAGAGGTTAGTGGAAATCCTTTTTGTGCAAACCGTATTATCTTTTCAACCAAATCGTTTTCTTGTTGTTCAGTTAAAAGGGTTTTTGTACCGAGGACTCGTTTGGTTGAACCAGTTTTCAAATGGTTTCTCAATGTACGACGGGGAATATTACAGCGTATTGCTACCGATGCTTGGGAATGACCAAGTCGCACAAGTCGCAGTGCTTCCTCCATCATTGCGTCTGTCCATTTTGCCCTTATTCCGCGATTCTTTTTCCCCATGTCTGTAAATAAGGAAAACCATAAGTCAGAAAAAAACTCATGTATGTACATATTATTTATGTAGCATACATAATTTTAAGATGTGCTTTATTTCTAGATACGTTAGGTTATTTTTAAGTCATTGTGACAGGCAATAAAGCAGTGACCTTATTATCATCTGTCTAGACAGGAAATAAGGCCCGGGCCTTATTACCTGTCTGGCACGTTTATAATTTTTGAGGTTAAATATCATTAAAAAATAAAAAATTATTTCAATGAACAGATTACAAGTGTTGTCGACATCAGGATAAACCTATATGTTCCAAAATATAGACAGATTTCAATTGTACTAGTGAAAATATCACATACCTTTTATCGAGAAATTTTATAGCACAGCACTTGAAATGTAGGGGAGACCGGGGACAATTGTACCATTTTGCCTATATTGTTCGCATGTTCTCAAATTATAATGTCTACCAGTCAGCAAGGTATGGCTGAAAGTAACGTAACTAATAGTCTACAAAATGCGGTTTTTGTAATGCATGAAACATAATACGTTTAGAAGTTATTTAACATTTAAAAAATAATGTAAAATGGTACAATTGACCCAGCCCCTGGGTCAATTGTACCAGCTAAGGGGATCAATTGTAACATCAATATTTAATATATTTTAACTAGTTTTATTGATCAAATTTAAACATTACCGCAGTAACCAACTCGGCAAATATATAATTTGTACAAATACTTTGGCATAAAACATGAGCATTCGTATTGTCACAAATAAATGAGCAAATACACAAGAAAAATCTTTAAAAAACAAATATTTAACTTAAAACAATATTTTGGATTTTGTAATTCACAAATACCTATATCTAATAATAAAGGGATGTCGGCAAACAAAAACTTGAACTCTTTATTCAAGCTAAGAACAATAAAAGCTTAAAAACGGTAAACGCAAAATAAAAAAATATGAAAATCAATCTTGTTTCTTTAAGAGATACCCAACTCAGACAATTACTCTGACTCACAATTGTGACAAACATAGAACAAGTTTTGTCCTACACACTCTTCGTGTGACCACATCTTGCACTGTGTGCACTGGATCCATTTCTCGCCCTTTCTGCTATTCCCATAAGGTTCGACGCAAACTAGGCAAAAATATTCATTTTCGTCTTCACTGCTTTCTGCCGATCCAGTTTTTTCTTTCTAGGAACTTTATTATTTGGTCTATTTCCCTGACTGCCTAAGTTTCTTTTTACTCGCTTTTTTTCTCTTTCCTCAACTTCTTTCTCTATTTCTATTTTCTCTGGGGTGTCTGTATAAATTGCGGACTTTCTTTTTTTCCTTCCTTTCATTGTACCTTTTCTTGGTGGAGCTTTGGAAAATGGTCTAACGTTTTCTGGGGAAAATACCACTTTTACGAATTCTGACGAAGTTGGAGTGGCTTCGTCATGAACTTGTAAAAGTTTTGCAGGTGTCCTGATAAGGATCGCATCTGCTCTTCCTTCCTTTAAACGAAACGCAGACAACGGAATATTTTCGTCACTATCTGAATCAATTAAACAGGGGATACCTGTATTGACACCTTCTAGCTCAGCAGGAGGCTTGCTGTTAGCTGTTTGCTCATTATTAACAGTCAGTTCTTGGTTTTCTGATGGCTGTAAGGGTCTATCAGTAACAAATGATGGACCAAAATCTGTTTCAGAAAATATATCTCTATTGAAGGGAAAAATACCTGTACATCTAAAACCAGCCTGAATGTTACTCTGTGTTAGTGCCAGAGGAATAGCTGTTGCAGTGATCCCTGGGATATCATATATCGTCATAGGTTTCCCTGGATGATTTCGAATCCACGCATCACAACTAGAATTTATAGCTTTCTTGAGTGGCCCATATACACAGCGGTCTAGGGGCTGCAATTTATGTGAGCAATGTGGAGGGAACGAAAGCATAACGATACCATTCGTTCTACAGAAATCCAATGCTTCGATGGTGATGTGCGATGAATGGTTGTCTAGTAGTAGCAAAACTTTATGGAATTGAGATGAATTGGTATCATGTTGAAAATGCTTCAAAAATACTATGAATTCTTTTTCTTGCATCCATCCGGACACATTACCGGCTCCAACGCAACCTTGAGGACCATCCCGAACAAAATGGTCTTGATATCTTAATCTTGGGAAAACAAACATAACTGGGATAGAGTTCCCTAGCGCATTAACGGCAACAGTCAGCGTAACCAGAGTGCCACGTTCTGCCGATGTGATAGCACCAACTTGCTTAGTTCCAGTTTTAGCTACAATTCTGTTTGGCTTCTGGACTGTAGTAATCCCGGTCTCATCGGCGTTATAAATATCTTTCGCTTCAAACTTTTCACGGTCCATAACTTTGGCCAGATTATAGAAGAAAGCGGCAACATTGGTAGGATTAAAGCTAGTAGCCCTTGAGAGACTTGTTGCCTGTGGTGTTCTTATAGATAAATCTTTATGCCTGCACATGAAACCAGAAAACCAGTCTTCACCGGCTAAGCCACTTTCAGTCCATTTTTCGGGCATTTTTAAATTATATTTTGTTGCTAATTGCAGTGCCAATTTTCTTATATCCTTGGGCGACAAACCTTGATAAATATCTGCTGCTTTCTTGATATATTTAACCATTTCGTTTTCTTGTTCATTATAAAAAACACGATTAGCGGGCTTGTATCCCATACTAACTTTTGTAATGCAATCGACTGAGTTTTCTCTTTTCTTCTTATAACGTAATAGGGACACATGGCACAGACCAAATTGGGCTGCAGCTGCTCGAATTGACGTTCCAGACAGTACCACATCATATGCAGATTCATATAAAGATAGATCACGTGAGGCTCTTTCCGTTTTATTAATCCTTTTCCGTGGCATCTAAAATAAAAAGAAAACCCTCTTCGAAACAAATACAAATCAGGGGTCAATTGTAGCGGTACAATCGTCCCCTGACGATTTGTTACAATTGACCCCAACTGTCTTTTTAAAACAAAAATGGATTTTTCTGTAATATGCACTGCTGTGTTTTTTGTGTAACTCTTACAGAAAGTAGTTAACACTACCCATAATCTAATTGAGAAAAAACATCAGGCATATTATGCAGTAAAAAAGAACTACGAACATTTGAAAAAAAAAATAAAAACTTACTTCTGACGTGCGGAAACGAACAAATACACTTAAGATACAAATGCTCTCAGCGATGGCCGCCGGCACACTGAAATCAGAACCGCAGTTGTTTGGTGACGCGCGCATCCGAGCGAAGTTTATATAGCGGTCTCACTCTAGGGCATATTTGAAATGTTACAATTGACCCCTGGTACAACTGTCCCCGGTCTACCCTAACGAATTTTGTTTACGGCGCACTGTTTCCAAGCGGAGTATCTGACGCTCTTCAGCCACATGTTATTTGGATCAGTTGAAGTCATCCTACGTACAGATGGCGCTAGGCTTATGATATATTTATTTCTATGAGATTTTTAACTGTATGGCCTTATTACCTGTCCGGCCTTATTACCCGACGGTACCTTATAGTGGTTATTATCTCCAGTTGCACAAAAGGTTGAGGAAATAAGGAAGGAATTTTTCCTATTTATTTATATGTATAACACAACTATGTACAGAGCGCTTCGTACGATCTTTCGTCAATGTACACGTGCGATTCCGTACACAGTCGAAACGAAACTGAGGTAAACGATATGTTGCGTTTTGTGGTATATAAGTGAGAACCTGGTTCAAATTTGGAACTTTCATACATGTGTATTCAAAGAAATTCAGAAACAATCCTTTTTCTTTTTCTTCTTCTAAAATATAATTTCCACGCAAAGCTAATTTGTTGACAATTAGAAATTGTATTACTCCAATGATAGACTTCACGTAATACCTATATTTTTATAAGACTTTTTGATTTATCAACGTTTCAACACTGCTAGATATAGATATAAGTAGCATCTTTCTCGACAGAAATTGCAACCATTTATAACGCTTGAACCAATCGGAAATAAAGGCCCTGGCCCTGTTATGTTGTTTTGGATATATGTCTAAAACAACTTGTTTTATTGGTTTTCCGATTTGTGCAATTTCAGAAGGAATACCATAGCTAACGTTACCAACTATTGCCATGGAACTAGGGGTAGCGATTGCTCCCTCCTGTTTAGAGCAGTGAGGTTCTGCGTAGTCAATTTGCTCTTCAACTCTTCGTTTTTTTACAAAAAAATACCGTATAACCATCGCGAAATCAATGAATTTTCAATTTATAGCAATAAAAATAACAATTGTATCGATGGCTGTGGTCCATTATTCACAAAACATCTCCATTTTGGTCGCGGTTTTTCTGATGTCACTGTCATACATGTCCTATCCATGCGCGAGTTGCCATACGTCCATATTCTAAAGTTTTTTCATCTATCCCAAAAAAAACGCAGTTTCTTACAGAAAATATACGAAAGTGGAACTGTTATTGTACATGGATGATGTCGAAGGTAGCTATTTATAGCATTTAGAAACATATTTATTTCAAAAAACGAGTAAAAGGTAAAATTTGTTTAACAGGTACAGGGTTGCAGTTGTCTCTAAGCTCCGCATTCACCAGATTTGTATTTGTGTCAATGTGTCGTGAATGGTACTAATGGTAGCCAACGATTTGCCTGGCCTGGAGGAATTTGACAGCCCATATTGCAATCTATGGTACGGGGAATCCCCTCTGCATCATAGATATTATCATTAAATAGACCCATCGCTTCATGTGATGGCGCTTCACATGCCATCTATACTCGGAGCAAAGAATTATTATAATATGAAAGAAATGTTACGAACTGTGGTATGTGTTCGGAAAAGTTTATATACCTACCGTTACAATTTTTTTATCTCAAACTATGAACAAATAATTTAATTATAATAATGTATCTTATTGCTTCACAATGCCCCCCGTTAGCTACAGCCCTGGTATAGAGTCGAGTCAATTTCATTCAATAATTATAGCACTTACGAGTACAGCCAGCGTGGGTATAGAGTTTCTTTTAACCCGTAAGTATTGCTAGCCAATATTTCTTACATAACTGCTACTATGGGGTCCCACGGACCCATTCCAATTTTTGTTTATAAAAATTTCATAAGCGAAAAATAAACAATTTATTCTTTTGCCAAAGTTATTATCAGAAATAGAACATATTAAATACAGTTATTACATACTACTTTCGAGCACTGAAGGCAAATAGGTATTTTGCAAGTTGAACATCTATTGCTAGTTTTCCTGTCCTTATTTGGAGGACATATATGCGACATCCTGGTCTTTTTGACCTTGTTTGTGTTTCAGTAGGTACAGTAGATTCTTCAAATGGCAACCTTAACCCAGGGCTAGTAGCGCTCTTATTTTGTGAAAATCTGGTCACGCCGGGTCTCACAGACCCAAATGTTAAATTTGGACAAATCATAACAATAACTAAATTAAATTAATTAAATACCCATTTGCATTTAAAAAATATATATTAAACGAAATAATGTTATAAAATCTAGTTTTAACTGTAACTGAAAACCAAGAACTTAAGATAAAATATTGTGCGCTAAAACTAATCTACTTAAAACAAGAATCTATAAATCGCCATCATTATTATCATAATCACTACTAGCTTCTCTGTTCTTTTGTTCACAGTCTTTTTAAAAAATAGTTGCGTGGCCTAAACATAAATATTTATAACAAACATTGCAGTACTATTTAGTTGTGCTATCTGAATTAACACATTCTACGCATCGTTTTCTTTTTCCGGGCACAGGAATCTCACGTTCTTCTTCAGGTATATTGGCAGCTTCTCGCCGACGCTTTCTTACTTCACGTGAAAGGTTTGTCATAGTGTCTCTGTGCTTTTGGTAATCGCTTATAAGCTGACGGGATAACTGCAGCAGGAACTTTCTTCTTACTAAATCTATGTTTCGGTTATTTGCGCAAAAAATGATATGAGCGTTAATTGCTGACGCATTTAATAAAGTATACAGTACAACCATGGGCCACCTCCTAGTATTTCTTGCACAATTGAAAGGGTCAGTGGAAAAGTTGCCTATTCCACATAAGCTAAAAAATGAGAAAAACGTATTCAAAGTTGAATGTGAATTAAAAAATCAGTGTGAGTTGAATAAAAAACTAAAATGATTTTTAGTATCTATTGCATTGTAACAAGCATGTAGTGAAAGGCCGGGATATCTACACAAATGTTTTGTTTAAATAAATGGTAATTTACCAAAAAAATGTTGCTTAGGCACCTTTGACCCAACAAAACAAGATATAAATTAGATTTGTCAACTTGAATGTTATAACTAGAACAAATTATAAATACGTTCAAAACAAACTTTATTATTTTTTTACAAATACGAAATAAGCAAAACAACTGTTGCATTGGTAACTTTAGTTTAACACATAATTTAAAACAGTTATTATGAATAATATAACAAATAGTTATTATCATTAATAAAAATAACTTAAGAGAAATCTTTATAATTTTTAGAACATAATATGAAAAACTTTCAATCCGAAGATTCTTCAACTTCATCAGGATCAGGATTTTCTAACAGGTCAACCGCCTCAGGATGTGTTCTTAGGCTGGTATAGAAATGATGATGAATTGGCGGGATATACTGACTTAACGCCATCAAATGTTGCAGTTTCTCTTCGGTTAGTTCTTTTCCATTTGGGTATAATACTATACATCTAAACTTCTAAGCTGGTATGAGCGTCTGCCTTTTTTCCTCGGCCATAGGTTCAGTTCATAAAAGTCAGTGCCATGATAGTTGAATTTCATCTTTAACACCAATGGTTTATCTTTCTCTAACCGAATCCATACTGTTTTAAGCCACTGAACTTTTGTACCATCAACTTGTTTTTTTCTATTTGTTATGTTTTGTTCCAAGGATTTAGAGCTAAAAAAATCTTCTTTTTTCATTCTAATGACTGCAATTTCGGATTGCTTTTTTTGCTGTCCTTCACCATATCCACCCAATCATTTGGTACAAAAATATCATTGTAGTAATTCTTAGCCTTCTCAATCAATGCAAAAGAGCGGTCGCATGAAATAAAACTATGCCCACTTTTGGTCAATAACTTTAAGAGTTTCAGATTTTTGTAAAAGATCTGTTAACATCAAACTCATTTTGATGTTGCGGTTCTGACCGCCACATCCATCGCTATACAAAGTAAGGTGTGTAATAGAGTCTGGTATGTTGTGTTTCTTATGATGGAAGAGACAGGAAGCCACCTCTTGCGTTCCACGAGATGCTTCATTTTCGGCCCACATGTACATAAAGGAACGCTGACTTACTTCATCATAAACGCATCGATTGTAGGTCCACATCTGTCGTTTGTAGTAGGCCTCACCAGTTTTCAAGACAGGAGTGGGCAAGGTTTTTTGCAGATCGAAAGTTAATACACGTTTAGTTGGATCATTCGCACAATCAGAAACGTCCTGCTTTTGCATGTCGTGTGCAGCTTGAGCCTTGCGCTGATGAAGTTCTTTTTCCCTAAGCAAAGTGTTTCTTTCTTCTTCTGTAATAGACTGAAATTCTAGGTCTATTTTGAATTTATCACATCTATGACAAGTATCTGTTTGTGGCGGATGAAAATGTAAATTGAACTGAGTGTTGAAAATATTCCTAAACACAAATGAAGAAAGAGGAGTTTTTGAATCATTTTCACAGCTCTTCTTGTACAAATCGTACATTATGCGAATATTGAGGCCTGGAGATAGATAATCCCTATTCCCGTTGTCCTTTCTACTGTAGTGCGATTTGTAGGTTGGAAACCGTTGTATGAATGTACGCAGATAAGTTACGTCATCGGGATTACTTTTGTTAGCAGGCTCATGCCTACCCCGTTTATCTTCAAGTGGAGTACCATCTTCAGATTTCCTTTTCAATGCATTGGTTATTGAACCGTCACAAATCATAAGGGTATCCTTAAAATAAGTTTTACAAACTGGAACCTGGAACATCATTTTGGCCATCATTTAATTTATAAATTCGAGTGAATTGACGTCTTGAATCTTCATTTTTGCCATAGCACCTTTTTTTATTCATGCCAGAAACTTGTCCCATAATGAAAGCATTTTTCAAGCCCCAGGAAAGGGAATAAAAATTTTTATGAATTTGGATTCTTCTTTCAACAGATGATATCTTCGTGTTGCATTTTTTCAAGCAACCACATATTTTTTCAGCATTTAGTATTTTTGCAGGCACGATTTTTCCTTTTGCTGTTGTGTATTCTTCCCCTCTCATTCGTTTTAGTTTTCTAATATTTTTCTTATGGTTTTCTGGCTTAAATAATCGTTTTCTTGTTTTTAAATTGCTTGTTTCTGTTTCATTTCTACCATACGGCTCGTCACTGCTCTCTGAAACAATAACGCAGGAATGTAGAAAAAAAAAACGAATAAATCGACACATAAAAAGCAACAGGTTGCACATTCTGTGTGCCATACTTGCTTAACCCACAAAAAAATTGCAAAAGGAGAAATGCCTAACCCACATGTGATATTATTTTGAGTATTTGCGTTTTTCACGAACTAATATACCTAAAATTTATTGAAAATGACAATTCTTACCATACGTGACTTCATTTGGGATCGGTTGTTCATAATCTGGATCGCTGGAACGCCCTGAATCGCTGAAAACAGGAGCACAACTTTCACTGCTGGCGGCCATTTTGATTGTGTTTGGGCAACTGTGGCTCGAGGTAGGTGAATATTATGTTAATAGGCAGAGTTGCTTGTAGATGTCGCTAGCTTAATATCTTTCAGACGGTTAGGCAACTTTGGCAAAAGGTAATTCAAATATTTACCATAATCGTGTAGCAAATATGGCGGTTTTTTAAATTTGTGGGATAGGCAACTTTTCCACTGACCCCTTCAATTGAAGTTTGCAGCTTTTTCATCTACTACATCAACGCCTGATTTCGTTTGGTTGTAAAAAGTAATAGTTTCTGGTTTGGCTTTATCTTCTAGTGCAGGATCTATTTTATCGTCATGGTGCATACTAGAAATAAGGATGACGTTTTTACCCTTTCGATGTACATAAGAAACAAGAGTTTTATTTTTTTGAAAGCCGAACATACTTGAATTAACAGGAAGCAATTTTGTATTTATGAATACTGCTGGTAGTTCTCTTTTATTCTTCCTAACCATGCCAACAAGCGTTAATTGTATGATCTTGTAGCAACACATCAACAAGTTCATAACTGGTAAACCAGTTATCTGTAGTTATGTTTCTTCCTGTTTTAGATATGGGTTGAATCATTCGCAAAACAATACTTTTAGGATCATTGCTTTGTCGATAAGGCCCCTTGGGCTGTTGTCCTACGCACAGTTCTAAGTTTAAAGTGTAAAACATATTGGCATCTACCAGTGCAAAAATCTTGATACCGTATTTGTTTGGCTTAGACGGTATATACTGCCTGAAACCGCAGCGACCCCTAAATGCCTCAAGTTTCTCCTCTATTGTCGCGTATTCGGAAATTGTATAATGTTTTTGACAATTTCTTACAAAAGAATCAAAAACTCGAATAGGTGCCAGTTTGTCGCATTTTCTACGTTCCTCCCTTGTTTCTTTGTCGTCAGTGCGGATAACACGCATCAGGAAACGGAATCCCTGCAACAACATGGTCAACCAAAACATATCAATCCCAGTACCATCTCGACTCCATAGATCTTCAGTAATGAGTCGACTGCCTTTGTAAAGACCTGCTAAATATAATAAACCTATTAGAGCTTTGATTTCAGCTAGGCTTGTAGGTTTTACATCTCTAGAACGCTTATATTTATCAGATATAGTTGATAAATATTTGTTGGTGTTTTCCACAATACTTTCAAGCATGATCTGATCAAAGTATAACATTCAACATTCTAAAGGTGTTTTGGCATTATTTGCGATCCCTTTTACACCAGGTAGGTGAATTACAATGTTTGATTTTGCTTTTCTCACTCGCTCCGAGAATGGATGCTTATTCCACTGCGTAATTTGATCTTTGCCGGTAAAATAAGGCTGGGATTCCACGTCTCTTTCCGCTTCCTCATCACTTTTCAACTCCTGATCACTTTCCGCTTCTTGTTCACTGTTAGAATCTTCCCTTTCTTCAACAATATCCTCAATCAAATTTCCTTCATCTTCATCATCATCAGCTACTTCATCAGATGATTCAATCTCTTCCCAAATACGCCTAACACGATCTTGTTCTTTTTCATAAGAGCAATTCATTTCTAAAATAAAATATTTATATTACCAACAGAAATTATACTTCAGTCATTGTAGAATGGAATATAAAAATAAATAAGGTTCATCTTATAGGATATCTAACTGACATTCATTAGATATTTGGTGAAATAAAGTCATGGTTAAGTTAGTAATAGGAATAGTTACTTACCAAAATAAGCATTGAATACACAACACTTTTAAATAACGAATTTAGTCGCGCCGTGTCTAAACGCCAATTTCAAAATGACTAATTTAGTCGCGCTGGGTCTCACAGTGAAGATTTAAATATCACCCTTTCCGGTTATCAAATATACTAGAGCTGGCTGCACTGTAAGCATGCCCTTGTTAAGTCAGGAAGGTAGTGGGAGAAGCACGCCTGGCAATGTTGCCACGTCTAAGCTACGCTACATGATATAAACTCGTGGGTCAGTGAGAGCCGGCGCGACTACTGCAGGGTTAAGGTGTCAGAAGCATTCACGCGGATTTTCCGAAGTACATTCGCATTGTAAATTCTAGCCGTCGTATGAGGTGTGTATAGGAAAGGTGCCTAATATGAGATACATTTTGGTCTGATTACCAAATTGAGCCATATTTCCTATTATTATTGTGAAAACCTAGTGAAGCAAGTTCTTTGAAGTGTTTATAACTTACTTTCCTTAGCGATAAATAAAAAAAATATATTAGAATTTTAATATTCTTGCGATTAATTAAAAATGCATTTTATACATTTTCGATTTTGGGGCTCCTAATATGAGATAGTAAAGGTTCCTAATATGAGATGGTCTCATATTAGGAACCAATTAAATACATGTTTTTATTTATGCATATTTTATTGAAAAAAGGTTATCCTTCACAGCTGCACAAAACAAAAGTTAACAAAATATATTTTAAGATTAATTTGCTTTAGCCAAACAAGAGTCTTTTTTGCCTTTGCCTTGTTTTTCACAAAGTGGACAAGTGAATGTATTGCCACTGACTTCTCCACATTCTTCGTGAGTCCAGCGAAAGCACATGGTACACTGAGCCCATTTTTCTCCATGTATATCTTCCGAATATCGTCCCCGACAAAATTGACACTCTGCGTCATCATTATCTTCTTCGCTAGAATCATTGTATTCAATTTCCGATTCCTCTGACTCCGAGCTGCTTACCACTGGTACTCTTTTCTTCAATATTTTCCCTTTTCCCTCCTTAATATTTAATTTGTTTTGACCAGCATCTGTTTTTTCTTCCTCTTTTTCAGCTTCTTCTAAAAAGGTTTTATATGGAGTTGACGTAATGAGGCTTGCTGAGCCCTTTCTTCTTCCGGAATTATTGGAAGTCCCCGAAGTTGATGGTACCGGCTGAATATCTTGGGGAGACACCAACAGTGGCTTAGTGGGAGGAACTAAATGAGGAGCGACAGTTACATCATTATTTCTTATTTCGTTGTCCTCAGATTCCATATTACTGTTTACCTTGTTTTCATTGAAATCAACTTCATTAAAAAAAAATCTGTTGCAGGGAAACAAACCTGTTTTTCTGAATGCGTTGATTGACACATCCATAGAAGCTGTTTTGTTGTAAGCTTTTCCAAGTAATGAAGAAATATTATTATTTGTTACTGGTTTTCCAGGATTGTTTCTAAGAAAGGTTTCGATTTCGTGCGCGTAGTATGTTTTTAAAGGTGCCATAAAGCCTACATCAAGAGGCTGCATTTTATGTGTTGCGTGGGGAGGTAAGCAGACAGCAGATACATGGTTTTGCCTGGCCATGTCTATTATTTCAATATTCCTGGTTTGTGAGTAGTGGCCATCCAGTATCAATAAAACAGGATCGTCTTTTGTTGATTTAGTAAACTTAATAAAGTGTGCAAACCACTGCGTAAAAATATGCGTTTGGATCCACCCAGATGGATGACAAGCCCAAATAGACCCAACAGGTGCACCCTTCATCAAGTGTTCAGACATATTTTTTCTCGGAAATATTAGAAGAGGAGGAACATATGTACCAACGGCGTTCATACATGTGACGACTGTAATTAGTTTTCCCCTTTCCATGGACGTTATTGCACAAACTTGCTGTTTTCCTTTTAAACCCAAAACTTTACTTTGTTTGTGTTGGACTACTGTTATTCCAGTTTCGTCGACATTAAATAGTCTGTGGGATGAATAATGAATTTTTTCTAATTCTTTTTCGTAAATGTCGAAAAATTGCGTAACACTTTCAGCATTAAATCCTTTTACTCTTGCTGCAGATATTGCTTGGGGAGTACGGACGGATCACTCAGGATGTCTTGCCAAAAATCCTCTTAGCCACTTTTTCCCCGCACTTCCTGTTCTTTGACTAAAAGGATGTCGTAGTCCATTTCGAATGGCTAACTGAAATGCCATGTGTTTAACGTCTTGCCTTCTCAATCCATAGAACTTTTTTTCCATTTGTATGCAATATTCCGCCAGCATCTTTTCCATTTCACAAGTCAAAGCTGCCTTTCTACCCAAACTGGTAGATACCAACTCATGTACACTTCTTGCATCCTTTACATACCTTTCAATAGTCCCTGAAAAAACAAAAACTTTAATTAGAACAGTATATTTTAAAAAATTAAAATTTATTTACCTTTTGGAACTTGAAATATTTGAGAGGCCTTTTGGTATCCCATTTCCTTATTTTTAACTGCTTGAACAGCCCTAACCATGGCTTCCTTGTCCCATTGTTTACGTTTTATTCCTTGCTTAGGCATCTAATTAAAAAAATAAAAACTTTAATAGGAACAGTTACTGGAATTTGGGCCTGAAAATAATTGGGTTCGTAATATGAGATACCTCATATTGCGAACCTCTAGGTGTCTCATATTAGGAGTCAAACGTTCATTTTACAAAAAGTGAATTTCAATAATAAAAAAATCAAGTCAAATTAAGAAATGTAGCGTAAAAGATCAATCAATCAATTTTATAATTTGTACTCGTATGTTGCACAATGATTTCCAAAATATTATTTGTAAAAACAAGTTCCCATGTCTCGAGCGGTGTTTTTGGTTGGATTCTTTTGGAATTCACCTTTTAGCCCAGGTAACATAGTTACGATGTTATGAGACAAACTTCTTGTACGTCCTGGTGCTTCCATGGACCATTTGGTTTTATCCTTCCCTTTGGAATTTGTTGCCTCTGATGGTTCAACTTCTTCCTCATCGTCACTTGGGTTCCCTTCCAGTTCGCTGTCAGAAACATGTTGGCTAAGTACCTCTACATCCTCTTCATCAGAGTCACTTTGGTCTCCACTGTCTACTATTTGTTGAAGTGTATCTAATTCATCGCTAGCGTTAGCATCGATTTCTTCATTTTCGCCTAGATCGCTGTCATCCCAAAAATCATCACTCTCTATTATCTTCCTTAGTTTATCATCTCGTAGCTTCGAATTCCAGGATTTAGCCATATCGCTTATATCTAAAAATAATATGAACATTGTTATACGTTGCAGGTATGCAAAATTTTGCATGAAACTTTGTAATTATATAGTAATAAAGGTTTCTTAACGTGCATATTTATATAATAGTATATCCAGTTTTTCATATTAGTCTCTAAATATGATTATAGTAATTATAAAATAAAATATTGCAATACCTACTTTTATCACACTTCTACTACTAGCGGGTCCGACGGACCCTAGCTACGTCACTGTGGCGGACGATCAAATCAGGGAGATACACGCACTATCACGCTCAACTGCGCACTGGTACTGGAATACAAACATACTCTTTTATTTTTAGCGGAATCAGTCGAATCTGATATAGGATGTGTCCCAGAGACCCGATAGTAGTACTTACGGGTTAAGTCCTCTTTTCGTTCCAGTCACAAAACATTCGGGAGAAAACTTATCATCGCAGACGTAATACCTGTTGCAGGGTTAAGAATTGGCAGCTATTTTTGACAGAAGTCCGGTACGCTCTTGGGGAAACGATGTATTCTACTGTGTCTGTTGACACAGTTCGAAACTTCTTTGGTTTTTGGGCAGGCACGTAATCCTCCATTATGGGGAAAATTACACAATACAAAACTAATCCAAATCCAATTTTTGCATGGGAATTGCGTTACAAATCTTGTAACGACGGCTGATTCTGGAGTCGCAAATAGGTCGATGCAAGGGGTTCCCCACTTTTCGAAGATCCTCTTCTGAGCTATCCTTGATAAGTGCCAGTCTGGCAGATCCTTTCCTCTGGATAGGTGGTCGGTCACAATATTGTAGTTTCCTGGAATATGTTCTATTCTCAGAGACATACTGTATTGATGTGCCAGCTCCAGGATCTTCCTGGTCAATGCCAAAAGCGTGACCGACTTGGTTCCTCCTTGATTTCTCAAGTAGGAAACCACCGTCCTGTTGTCCGTCTGAATTAACAGTGTTTTGTTTGCCAATCGATCTAGGTGGTTTCTTAGCGCTAAGTAGATCACGAACATTTCTTTTTTGTTGATATGCCACTTTTCCTGCTGCTCTGTCCAGTTTCCTTTCCTCAAAGTGTCTCCTACTTGGGCTCCCCAGCCCGTGTTTGAGGCATCGGTTATTATATGAACTTCCGGTTCTTTCATGCAGATTATGGATGACCCTTTTAAGTTTTTCTCCCACCATCTTAGCTCTCGCAATACGTCCAGGTCTATATTGAACAGTTTCTTTGGTTGGTTTTCTGACATCCGATTGACTGCTCTTTGTATCTTTCTGCAATGTAGTCGACCCAATGGGATAACAAACGAGGCAAATTCCATTCTCCCTAGCAGTGCCTTTACCTGCTTCCAGCTCCAAGTCTTGCTCTTGATTCCAGCTTGGATTGATGTTTGCAGACGGTGGATTTTGTCCTCCGGTAAACTCTTTTGATTTCTTATGGTGTTCCACATAATACCTAGATATGCCAATTTCTGTGTAGGTCTTATTTCGGACTTCTCCAGGTTGATGCAGAAACCCAGCTTTATGAGAGTATCTATCAGGGTGGATACCTCTCGCTTTAGTTCTTCTGGATTCTGGTTTGCGATCAAAAAATCGTCCAAATAGACCATTACTCGAATGTTTTGTTTCCTCAAGTAGCTCGCCACCCAGTTCGTAACTTTTGCAAACACCTGTGGAGCGGAGCTTAGGCCAAATGGTAGTGCTGTCATAGCGTAGATGTTTTGCCGGTAATAAAGTCCCAGATAACGCCAATGCTTTTGCTTTATTGGCAAATGGAAATATGCTTGAGAAAGGTCGACTTTTACCATATAATCTCTTTCCTGGAGAAATAATGGCAGTTTGCGATGGTTCATAAGGCGGAACTTCTTGGGCGTGATGAAGCTGTTCAATCTTTTTAGATTGAACACTGGTCTCCACAAGCCCCCCGATTTCGGCGTCAAAAACATATTTGATAAGAAACCTGTTTTTGTTTGCAGTTTTACTACCACCTTTTGATTTATGAGGTTTTGTATTTCTCGATCCATTTGTGTGGATGCTGGTGTCTCGAATTTGTTTAGTATCGGTTGGGATAGTACTGTTATTGGTGGCTTTATTAAGAAAGGGATCACGTAGCCTTTCAGGATACTGAGAATCGATTGTGAGGCTCCCATACTTTTCCAAGCAGAGACATATTTGGCGAGTTGTCCTGCCTGAAAACTGTCAAAAACTCCGCCTTTTATCTAAAGGTGGTTGTTCCTTACGAGCTAGCTTGGTATGACTTTTCGCCCCCGGCTTACGCGAATACTTAAACTCTGCCTTCTTCATTTTTTTAAATGAACCTTGACGCAGATACTTTTCATGAGAAGTTCCTTGAGGCACCTTCTGTCTCAGTGCGACTTTTCCCAAATTACTCTGCCAGCGGACAGGAGCAATTTTCGTCACTCCATGCATTTTAACCACATCTTTCAGCTGCTCTTCATCCCACAAGTGCGTACCTGACGGAGGAATCTCATTGACGATGGACCTATAGTAACTACTTTTAGGCTCGTATAGTTTCCTGCGACTTTCGATGATTTCCGCCCTTTTTCCGCAAACGAACTGCAGCAGGTCGTCCGAGATGGTCTTGTATTCACTGTTAGCAGCAAAAACTTTTTTCAAAGTGTCTGCCGCTTCCGGGTGTTTGTTCCCCGCCTCCTTCAGAGCCTCATGTATGATTCTCCGTTGCTTCAGTAGACCGTGTGAGATAGTCCCGAAGGCCAGGTCACTTTTGGATAACATATCTGTCATTGGGCTTGCATGTCCATTGTTGTACAAGGATGAGTTAACCTTCAGAGTACTGAAGACTGGTGATGCGTGGAGTTTTTTCTGAGCGTCCACGTAACGAATCTTGTTCCATGTCTCTTCCCCGAAACGCTGGCATTTCATGCCCTGTGTCTCGATTACTGGGTCCGCCCTAGGGACTGTAGGCTCGATTTCCCTAGTGACAGGGGAAAACGTGTCCCAGTCGTTTACGCTGCCACATGTGCCAATACTGTCGGCGTCATACAGCTCTTCACCTGTAGGAGTTGGAGCTTGCCACGTCGAATTCATGACGCTGCCATCGTTCTCTTTATTTCCTGAGACCAAGTGGTAAAGATTCTCGACCATGCTTTCCACGCGGCGTAGCCTTGTCTCATTGACATCCTCCTCCGAGCTCGAAGACAATACTCGCCGCCTCCTCTTCATTGGTTTCTCGGTTCTGACCGGGTACTCGTCGTCTGAGCTGGACGATTGACACCGTCTCCTTGAAAGGGCCTCCGACGTCAGCTATCTGGAACGCATAGTATGTTTAAGTGGTTCCACCGCCTTATTAAAGAGCTCCGCTTGAGCCATAGATCCTCGTAACTGACACGCTACCTGCCGTGGGCTCATGATCAATGCTCTACAGAGGTTCCAGTCGAGAAGCCTCAATTTTATATTTCGGTAGGTTTTCTCTCCCACCGATGTTGCTTCTGGGTAGAATGCTTTCACCAGTTCCAATGTGGGGAGGGCGAAGCGAATTTTGTTCAATACTTTGTGGTCTATCTTTTTCCCAAATAGATCTTCTTTCTTCCAGTCTCTCCAGCCGTCTGGCAGATGGTTCTCTATTAAGACCTTGATTCTGGAAAATATCGCTTCATCTTCTTCCTCCATTTCAACGTGGCTGGACCAGAGTTCACCCAGAGTAACAAAATTGGTTGCCATCGCCATCTGGAAGCAGATGTGCTATAATTAGTTAGTCGGTCGGGCCAAAAATGCAGCCGGTCGGGCCGAAATCTGCAGCCGTTCGGGCCAAATTCTGCAGCCGGTCGGGCCAAAATTTGCAGCCGGTCGGACCGAACGTAGCGGCCGGTCGGGCCAAAATTCGCAGCCGGTCGGGCCGAATTTAGCGGCCGGTCGGGCCGAAGTCTGCAGCCGGTCGGGCCGAAGTCTGCAGCTGGTCGGGCCGACTTGACGGGCCGGTCGGGCCGAAACATTGTGTAGATGGATCTGGCTGCAGGACTCCCTTCAATTTTCCTATGAATGGGCATTGTGCGCTTGCACACAAGTGCCCATATTATGCTCTAGCGAATTTGCCCAAGATGCATTAGAAGGGAGTCTCACGTCTGGACCGAGTGATCCGAGACCGTGACAATTTTATATCAAATGGTAGCCATCTACACTAAATTGTCAAACTAAGGTTTTTGTCTCTTACCTTTGCATTTATACTATTATTCTCTCGAACGTTACACAACGTTTAACTCGCGATGTTACACATACGCACACGCACACACCCTATCCGTGCGATAGATAAAAGCGTACTGAAGGGCGAGCGGGGAATCGCTCGCCACTAGCCAGCGCGCGCATCGCTCCAAGGAGCATGGGCGTACAGAAAGGGGAGGAGGACGAAGGTAAGGGGGACTAGAGACGCACACATACTGACTCCGGAGCTGTAGATAGGGAACGTAATCTCAACGGTCAGGCCGTAGGCACAGAGCCGAAATATAATATTCCTTACTTATCTAAGTCTTTTTTTTGTTCAACTATTTGCCCCTCTCCTCCATATAAATCTACAATTTCTTCCCAACATTTCTTCTTCAAATCTCTATTAGAATAATCTGCTGAGGAACTATCCCAAATTGATGGTCTATTTTGAATATCAATAATAAATTTTTCAGTATCGAAATTATCCATCATGCACATTTGCAAACTAAAAAAAAAATTATCGCGTCGTTAGCAGCACGACTGGCGGCCGAGTGAGTGAAACACCATAGAGCCCAATACGAAATAGTGGTGGTGCGACCAGCTTGGCGGAGCTGCCAGTAATCTTTCGAGCACACGTAGTGTTGGTCGCTCCGCCAAACTGGTTGCGCAACCAAGCGGACACCAGGTGAGATACTCTCCATAGAGCTCTATATGTTTTGTTGGTAGCGACGACCGGTTGCGCCGCCATGGTGTCCCGGTGAAATAGGGCCTTTTAGAGGCTCGATGGGGTGACTGGTCGTCTCGCCAGTGGCGGCGCGGCAGAATGACGCTGGTGTCCAAGGAGTTCCATGCACTTCCGATGTTTTGCCTTAAGCAATCCCTTCGTCAGTACGTTTGCAGCCATTACAGAAGATGGAGTAAGCTTCAACTGGAACTTCTTCTATTCCAATGCCTCCCGAACAAAATGGTAACGTATGTTACCTGTGTTAGCTAGTTCTATAATTTGGCCTTTAAAGACTAAAGTGGCAATTATCATCATGTCTTACCCTTTTTTGGTAGTAAATAGACATTGGTCAGACTTAGTTGGATTGGCACTAAGCGTCTGACTTAGCTTCTGATACCATTTCCGACCGGCTTGCTTCAGGCCGTATAGTGACTTCCTAAGTAGACAAACATGGTTTATCACCTTTTCCCAGTATGTTCAAGATATCATGAGTCTTCTTTCTGGTAGCCTTGTTGTATTTGGAGCTATCACAAATAATCTCCAATGACTCATCCATATATTCGGGGGTTTCCATGTAAATTGTCTCATCTAGATTTCCATTTAAGTATGCGCAGGTAACATCTAGTTGCTGCATATCAATATTTAAATGTGCTGCTAGGGCAGATCCAAGTCTTGTGGAGCTAAGCCTTGCTACAGGGGCAAAAGTCTCGTTAAAATGTGTTCCGAGCTTTTGGCTATCCCCGAGCTACTAGTCTTGCCTTTCTTCTTTCGATAGTTACATCAGGTTTATACTTGCTTGTCAGCGTAATACGGCTTCCAACGATGTGTGCTGGTTACATGGTCGGTCGATTATCTGCCAAGTACCATTCTGTAAGATAAACGCCATTACGTCTACCATTGCCTTGTGCAATTCGTCAGCGTCCTCATCTCTGACTTCCTGACGCATCGGGATCTTGGACAGCAATATCTCTTCAGAAGAAACTGTTGAACCCCTCAGGGGTGCCTGTACCTATAAATCGTCCTAGGTCTTCCCCTCGAACCAGTTCGCCGAATTATGGGTGTCCCGCTGACACGCCTGGGTGGCTCAGAATCGCGATCAACTTCAGGCTCTTCTCGTTCTGATGTAGGAGATTCAAGTTCTGGATATTCGTTCTCGACAACCGGATAGTTGTACTTGGATAGTGTGCGTCTCAGATTCATTTTCTTTGGACGACTCTTGCAGAACAGAATCTGTCCACTCTTGTCTTGTAACTTCTGTGTTCTCTAAGAACTTAACATCCCTCGTGACTACGAATTTATTTTCCTTCGAGAACCAGACCTTGCCTCCTTTTGTTCCTCCGAATACCCTACGAAAATTCCTTCCTTGTATCTTGCATCTAGCTTCCCCTTGGTCTGATCTTGGTTTAGACAAAAGACTTTGCAGCCCAAAATGCGATACGGTGGGAGTCTTTTCAGTCCTCATTTCATACGGTGTTAACCCGTTCAAACTTTTGGATGAACATCTGTTCCGCAAATTGTTGACCGTGTTGATGGCTTCAGCCCAAAAGATCGGTTGTAAGTCAGATTGCATGAGCTGGCAACGTGCTGTATCCAGGAAGGTGAGGTTCTTCCTCTCCGCTATACCGTTCTGTTCCAGAGTGTATATGGGCAAGTCAAGTGACGTGAAATTCCGTGCTCTTTCAGGAGATTGTTCATTTCCTTGCTTGTGTACTCCATACCGTTGTCAGATTGGATGCCTTTATCTTTTTTTTTTGTTTTCGACCAGTGCAATATATTCCTGAGTCTTTTGAACCAATTCGTGTTTATGTTTCAGGAATTCCGCAATATCTAGAGTAATCATTTATAAAGTCAACAACATATTTGTATTTCGAGTAAGAGTCTACTCGTAATGGACCGCAAACATCAGTATATACAATTTCTAGTATTTCCGATTCCCTATTGGATTTCTTCGGGAATGGCGAACGCGTCATTTTTCCGTGTATGCAAATTTCGCAATCAAGTTCCTCCTCATTAGGCGTATTTTAAATATCGATTTCACCTAATCTGCCTTCCTTCAATTCAGAATTCAAATCCAGAAAAATTCAAATGACCTAATCTGAGATGCCATATTTTTTCATTTCCAGAATTCATGGCCAAATTGAAAGCTGATTTATTTGGCGCTTCGGCTTCTCTCACGTAGTATAAATCACCTTACGATCGGCTACAACTTTAATATCACCATTATTATCATAGGTCAAAGCGTTTTCTTTCGTGAATAAAACTTCAATTCCTTTTCGGTAGTTTTTGCAACAGAAAGTAAGTTCACTCTTAAGTCACAACAGTTCGCTTCACTTTTGTAAGAATTGGCAACAGTCCTTTGTGACATTCAGCGGCTTTGTGGCTTAGTTTTCGGCATCAACATCCTTGTCATTTAACTTGTCCACTGCATTGAAAAATGAGTTTAAATGACATCGTATGTCCTGTCCCTCTTCCATACGTTGCAGCGTGAGCTGTTTGAGGTATGTGGCCTTTCTATCAGGTCCTTTTGATTGGTAAATTCCCTCCAACTTTTGCCACAGCTCCTTGCAGGTTTCAAGGCTCGATGGCGCGTGTACACTAAAAGAAAGACAACTCAATGCATTTTGACTGGCAACAAGTCGCCGTCATATTGCATTGGATATACGTCACGTCAATGTCATGTCAACTGTCATATGTAATGTTTGTTTTCCGAATATTTTCCTAATTGTAAAAAATCAATTTTACGTTAGGGAAAAGCATTTTTCCTTCCTTTTTTTTGTTAACAAAATGTTTTCCCTAAGGTAAAAAAATATGCTACAGACAAGAATATTTATGAAAGTGAAAAGGTTCTTACATTGTTTTTTATTGCCAGTCAATTAAATTTTATAGAAATTTATTTTGCAATGTCAATAGAAAATATAAATCAGCGCCTAAATGTGAGGCATTGCGAAAATGTTTGATGTGTGATGCGCCATTTGTTATTTTTCTGTTATCTGGCTTATTTGCACTCAACACGGGCGCGGTGGCGATTTTTCGTAGTGCTCCTCAAAGTTTTTGAAAACACAAAAAAACGGGAAAAATCGTATTTTATAACTTTGAACATAAACTGTCTTCAGAAAGGACAACATACAAAAAATAACCCGTCGGGCACAGCTAATATGTAGATATACTTCATTGGCAACATAAGCAGTAATGACATTCTCACAGCAAATATCATTTTATACACATGCAGACCAATACACATAATCATCCAGATGCGATCTTGCTATTCAACCAACTTTCTTTCTTTGACATCTCAGACTACAGACTACTGGGCTTCACAAAACATACTTGCTTTCTGCTACCCGTGTAGTGGAGTCATTCCTCCATAGATGGATGCTTACAGCGATCATAGCGAGTAAATGTGGAATGAACTATTTGCACCCTAAAAACTACCTAGTCTGCAAGCTGGCATTTTATTGTTTTTTTTTTCCTTCCGTGGTTATGACTATTACAAATATGTTCCATTTCTGGGAATGTGTTTAATGGTGACAGCACAGGTGACAGTGGTGACACTGGTAATGAATCATGACAAGCGGAATATTTAGCTCTATGATTTTGCGGCAGTGTGGAAACCAATGCTAAATGCGACGTTGCCGTTTAACTCGTGTTGCTGGTTTCCAGGCAGTAGTTGACCCCATGCGATCACCCCATGTGATGTCTGGTCGTCTCGCCAGGGGCGGCGCGGTAGGATGACGCTGGGACGCGTTTCAACAGTTTCCGATATCAGTATAGTTCTGAACACGACCGACAGTAAAACCACTGTCACATTTTTGAGCAACTGGTGTTGGTATTTTTGGCAAGAAAGTTGATGTCAACCCTAGTAAGTTGCACAGTCCCATGGAATAGCTTACAGAATGTGGAACAAGACATTGTCGGCTGCTGGCTCAGGATTTTAAGGGCGCAGTCTTGACATATATCTTGAGAAATTCCGCAACAAGTGGCAGCATCGAAATATTTTCTCAACAGGTTGATCCCGGCAGGTCTCTAGCATTACCTTTCGACACTTTTGGGGCACAATTACCCGATTAACATTGCTAGCGTCCGCCCTTGTTCATATTTCTCTCAATCACTTTAACACTCTGACTGCCGGCATACTATTTTATTCTTGTTTTATTTTGTGCTGTCACTCGTTTATGACTGACATACTGTTAGGCATTATTTGGCGGCGTCAGTCATTTATGTCTGACATCACCAGAATCATACCTGGCCTCGTCAGGCTGTTTAGACTGACATTATATTGAATTGTTAATCTCCATTTGGATCACGGCGCTTGATTTTGTAAGTCTAAAAAACCTGGCGGCGCCTAAATAAAATTCCAGGTATTGTAAATTAACCAAACGTTTTTATTTCAAACTTATTGTATTAGCAAGAAAAACCAAACATTTTTATTTCAAACTAATTGTACTAACAAGAAAAAATAGATAACTTAGACACTATGATTTTTAATATGGCATTCTTGACACATCGCAGGTTTCCCATTGCATCCATCGCAATATGTTCTACTTTTCTTACTTTTTTCTTGCTTCTGATCTTGATATTTCTTTTGTTAGATTGATATAGCAAAGCTTACATTGTTTTCGAGTTTTCTCCTCTGATTTTTTCAAAAAATGTGCAACTTTTACAGTTGTTAGGCTGGTTATACTAGCATTATTTCCAAATAATAAAGTCCTGGCCACATCTTCTCTAAACTTATTTATGTTTGATTTAGATTTGGAATATTCTTTGTATATATGCATTTACCA